TCGTTACTTTAATTTGGAAGGCGTTCCCAAAGGGTTCCTCCTAGGTTCAGAGAATGCAATGTCAAAAGCGAGTGAATCAGCCCTGGATGGTGGCTCAGTGGTTAGGACCCAGCCCGTGCTCCAAAGGGTCACGGGTTCGATTCCCAGTCAAGGTCATGGACCTGGGTTGTAGGTTCGGTCCCTGGCCCCAGTCGGGGCACGTGTGGGAGGCAACCAATCCATGTGTCTCTCTCACATCGATGTTTCTCTCTCCCTCTCCCTCTCTCTCCCCTCCCTACCTCCCACGCTCTCTAAAAATCAGTGGAAAAAATATCCTCGGACGAGGATTTAAAAAAAAAGTGAGTGGATCAGTACAGTATCTGGGTGTATCCCCCAAAAGCACTGAAAGCAGGGACTGGAACAGACATCTGTACACCCCAACTCACAGCAGCCATGTTCACAGTAGCCAGAAGGTGGAGGCGACCCGCGCGCCCATCCAGGGATGTGGGCCAACGCGACCTACACTCACGCCGGACTGTTCCTCAGCCTCAAAGGGAAGGAAGTCCTGACACCTGCCCCACGCGGGTGAAACCGGAGGGCGTGATGCCGAGGGACGCACACCGCACGGCCCTGCCTCTGCCCGGTGTCTGCAGTAGGCAAATGCGGGCGAAAGGGGCCTGGCGGGTGGGGTGGGGGAGGGGGGTTACTGTTTAATGAACACAGAGTTTCAGTTTTGCCAGGTGAAGAGTCTGTAAATGGACGGCCGTGCCATGAGAGCGGGCAGTTTCATGGTGCATATGTTTTATCTCAATAAAAGCAAAATGAGCGAGCAAGGCGTGCCCTGCGCGTTTCTGAATTAGAGGCGAAAGCAGCCCCCCTCCCCCCGTTTGAATTTCTAGAAACAAATGAAGAGAAACCTGCTGTGGACTAAGCCTGTTTCTGTGAAAGGCGGGGAGCTGGCACTTAGGGGACCCGGCGATCTTCCCGGGGCGGGGGTGTGTGTGTGACCTGGGGGGACGTGGCCAGGCCTTAGGAGCCCTGTGTTCTCACTAGGACCCCAGCCCCCTGACAGCCGCGGGCACCGGGTCTGCGCTGGCTCTGAGCGCCTCCACCCGCAGCTCTGAGGTTCCCCGAAAACTTTCTGCAGGGAAGCCGGGACCCCCCCCCCAATGTCTGAGCTGGAAGAGACCTCACTCTCTTCCTTCT